TGCAAACCCTCATTTTCAAAATCTGAAATTATGGTGGCCTATTCGTGAAAAATCTAAAGCTATTGGGTGTTCTTTTTGCAAAAATCTGGAATCATTGGAATGTTTATTTTCAAAATCTGAAATTATGGTGGCCTATTCGTGAAAAATATAAAGCTATTGGGTGTTCTTTTTGCAAAAATCTGAAATTATTGGGATGTTTATTTTCAAAATCTGAAATTATATGGTGGTTTGTTTTACAAAATTTGAAATCCTCCTAAGCTTATTTTTCAAAAACTTGAGAAATGTGGTGGCTCACTTTATAAACTTTGAAGCCTTATCTTGCTTATAAAAAGAAAATCTGAAGGGTGCTTATATACATTGTTGGCATGCATTGAGGAGCTTTGTATAGAAGGGGGGAGTACTTTCAAAGCTTGAGTAGTCCTCCTAAATTCTATGTGTTACCTTCATGTTAAGGAGCCTTGATATTCATATCTCACATGTAAGCTTTCATAATTACATATACATCACTTGGATGTTTTGAATTTATGCCTAAAGAAGAGAATATATTTCTTTTGGCTTTTGTAAGGCAAAATCATCGTATTCTTTTTTTTTTTTTGTGGAATAACAAGAAAGGTTTGAGCGTCATATTTTTGCAAGCATGTAATTAAGGTGCTCAACGATCTTGTTTAATGGGGCCTCGAAATTTTCATTACTTTATGAATATTTAGAGATATCTACTTGGATGTTTGAGAAAGTTTGAGAAGTGTTATGTCCTTGTTTATGAAAATCTAGAAGAAAATTTCAGTTCAGCAATGCATGAGGATCCGAAATTTTTGTTGCTTTTGCATACGAAATGGGCTCGGTTTTGGCCTTGCTATTGGCTCGGTTTTTGGCCTTGACGTGGCCCTGTTTTGGCAATTGATTAGGCTCGGTTTTATGCCTTGGTGCAGCCCTGTTTTGGCTTGTGATGTGGCTCAACTTTAACTTTGTTAGGCTTAGTCTTAGTCTGATATGCGCCTCGGTTTAACGTTGTATTGGGCTCGGTTTCACTTCTTGTGGCTACTCTCTTTTGAAAGGCCACCCAAATCCATAAAGGTTTAAGGAAAGAAAGCTGAAATTCAGGTGTCATATGTGTAAACATTTCAAAATCCGAAAATCATAAAATATGCTAATATATGTAGAAATTGAGATTGTATGTAAATTTATAAAATTTCATACATGCCAATCAACTTCTTTGCATTCACCCATCCAACCCTTGCGCATTTGCATGTCCAACACCCAAAAGTTCATTTCCAGCATGTGTTCGAACAAGTCTGGTTTGCTCATTTGCAAAATCTGAAAATTAGGTATTAGATATGTGAATACATGAGAGTTGGGTGCTATGTTTGTAAGTGAAACTTTTATTTTTGGTGAAACTGTATAAAAAAAATCTGAAAGTTTAAGAGGTTTTGATTTTGTGGCATAAGATTCCTGCGTATTTTTGTATCCCACATCCAAGCTAAGCTTCCATATTTACGTATACATTGCTTTGACGCTTTTTGAACCTATGCATGAATATGCTTATTTCACTAAGAGGAAAGAAAATAGTTTACATATAGGTCACCTAACTCTCGTGTATTTGCACATCTAATATTGACATTTTTGAAGGATGAGAAATTGGATGGCGTGCATGAATGTTTATGTTGGGAATTGGCTGTGCTCTTTCTTGACCCTATCCGTAAGCCTTTTGGAGGTACATTTGGGCTCATTTTGCCCCTTGATTGCCTTGGCCGCGAGCACTTATATGTTATTTTGGATGATATTACACACTGCGAGAGGCTTGTGGTTGAAATTGGAACTAAATGGTTTTACTGTTTACAAGATTTTAGGAATTTTGAGAATGTCATTTGTGGATCATATTCCTTTGATTTTGATTGGAAAAATTTGAAAGGTCCTTAAAACTTCATTTTGGGAAAACATAAGGTTAATATGAATCGGATTCATGAAGGATTTGAAAAATTGTGAAATTGTTGTTTGGGAAGTCACCGAGTTTTTTTCTCCGGATCTATGACATCCTCTAGTTCTTCCTTCATTGGATTCCACAATAAATGTTCCAAATTTGAGTCATTCCCCTCTCACACCTCTTTGTCCGATCTCGTTAAAAAGTCATATTCTTTGAACTCTTTGAAGATAACATTTCCTGATTTTTATCGAGAGTTTTCTTAGGTGACCTCAGTTATCTAAAATGTAATTAACTATAGGAGTTTGTCTTTATAGGAAGTTTTTATGAACCCAGCTTAATATAAACCCTATTTAATTTTTTTTATTAAATAGGGGAACTTGTCGGCAAATAAAATGGTTTCAAACAGATGTCATATATTTCTTAGTTTATTTGATCGAATCTCATACTCAAGTCTTGTATTTATTCTTCGGGATAGATACAATGTTTGAGGTATAATACTCATTCATTTAAACTATGAAAAATATGAGTTTAGTTTGATTTTATATTTTTCTAAACTTATATATATAAATATAAATAAATATATATATGTGGGTTGCCTCCCACAAAGCACTTGGTTTAACATTGTCAGCATGATTTCAATTTCGGTGACTGATAGCTTCCAACGTGTAACTTCACAACCCAAAATAGTGCCGACAACGACCCATTCACATCTTAATTAAACTTCATTTTACATGTTAATAGCCTTGACTCATATGTTCCTTCACTTAATTGCCTCCTTGTTTGTGGGTGTGGAAGATGGCTAATTAGATAATGAAGAATATCAATCCAATCAAGACGCACATATATATTAATAATAAATAAATAAATAAAAGTAATAAAAAATAAAAAAAAATATATTTTTTTAGTACAAGAAAAAAATTGGTTTTAAGGAAAAAAAAAGGAGAAAAAAGAAAAATTAAATTCCATTCATGGACATGAAATTTCATGGTTCTAAAGAATGCTTCTATTAATTAGATGGTACAAATCCAACGATGCGAGCTTCTTATCAATTACCCTTCTTATTCTGTTGAAACTTTTGAATTCTAATGTGCATTAATTTTATATCCATCCTACTATTATTTTATGCTTTATATATGATGATAATTGTGTCATTATCCCTCCCATTATCTTTGTATATATATTTTAAGCTTAGCTCCTATTTGAGTTTGATTGGTGCTCATTTCATATGATCGTTATCGAATCATTATTAAACAAATTAATAAATAAATTATCTAGTTACTTAATTTTAATTCTAATAATATTTATTGAGAAAATTAAAATTAATTCTATCATATTATTAATTTTATAACTAAATAAGACTTATATATCGAACAAAATAATGAGTAATATTTGAAATATAATATTTCTAAATTCTTACTTACTGTTATATTTCATACGAGAATGAAAGGACTGTCGATGCGGCTTAATAACATGACACATATTACATATAGGTAACGTAGAAGATACATTGTAATGTTGTGTTTTGGAGACTGTTGAGAGGATTTCTTCTTGATGTGGATGTCTCAAACGGTTATGTCGGAGATTGGAGATGGCTGATTTGCGAATAGTTGAGGAGAAGGCGGGAATGGAGTAAAGCACATGGGAAACACTCACATTTTCTGTCCGGACACCTGACGTAACTCTACATGCGGTGCAGGTTATTCCTGAGTTATTTTCAGGTTATTTCTGGGTTATTTTCAATAATCCCGAAATAACCCAAAAATAACATGCGGTCTTTATTTTTGAGTTATTTCGGGACGGGATTATTGAAAATAACCATAACCTGAAAATGAGTCCGCACAGAAAAATTTTTGCATGGGAACGGAACTAAGGTCCTTGAAGAAGAATCTGATTGGTGTGTGGATGAATGATGAAAATCAATGTCGAAATTAATGTGTAGATACCTGTATGAATTTTTATAGATATCAGAGAAGTGTTTTGAATTGTTTATTTATTCATAAAGAGCTGGCATGCATATCTGTATAATACTTCATACTAATCCCTTATTGAAGGAGTGTTTTGAATTTTTGTGCTAAGAGTTTTATAATCAAATGAAATTTATCAACCTTACAATTAAATAAGTTGGTTTTTAAACTTACAAAAAAAAATGAACTATAATTGAATAACTAAAAATAAACATATAAATTTATAAAATAAATGAACTAAGCAAATAACTCTTTTATCTTATTTTATGTAAAACAAATTAAATTTTAATTTAATTAATATAATTAAAATTTAAATCAATTTTTACTCGAGCTTGTTCACACGCTTAAATTAAATTTTAACCAATTTTATTCATAAACATTAAAATATTTTATTTATGAATTTTAAACAAAATTATTTATCGAGCTTCTTAACGCGGGCTTTAAATGATATTACTTGCGAACAAAAATGAATCAATCTATTAAATAGATGTTTATGTTGTTCTCATTAAAAAATCTAACATTTTAAATAAGTATTCAAAATTTGTTCAATTAATTAGTAGAGGTCTTACCAAGTCGGGTCAGAACACGGCCCTAAATAAGAAAACAAATAGGAAAACAAATATATCCTGAAGAAAAGAATTTGTTGGCGTTAAGACTTTTCGTAGCTCATATTTAGGAGAAATTATTGCATATGGACACTGCATGCATCTCTGCATGCGGTGCCGATTCTGACCGTAAATCTAGGTGATCTACGGTCAGAATTATTTTAACTTTTTTTTTTAAAAAAAAATTAGGTGAGACCCACCGAAATACATCGGGACCGTAGATCAGGTGATTTACGATCCGGATCGGACACCTCCATCCGTATGGAATAATTTTTCTATATTTAGCCGGCCAATTTGTTTCCAACCACTAAAAAGTCAAACTGCCTCAATTGTTTTAAGAATTTCAGATATACAGTTTATTCGGGCGCACAGGATATCTTTTAATTTTTGTCGTATTTATCATATACGGATAATCTACTGCTTGGCTGCATCAACATGGGATTTTTTTCCTTCATATTTAGGAAGTGGGGAGAGAGAGAGAAAACGAGTACTGAGATAGAGAGAGAGAGAGATGGTTAGAGCTCCTTGCTGTGATAATATGGGGGTAAGGAGAGGACCATGGACTTGTGAAGAAGATCGGATTTTGATATCTCACATAGAGAAATATGGGCATGAAAACTGGAGAGCAATTCCGAAGAAAGCAGGGCTCTTTAGGTGTGGAAAGAGCTGCAGGCTTCGATGGGCTAATTATTTGAGGCCTGGAATTAAAAGAGGAAACTTCAGCAAGGAGGAAGAAGACACTATCATCTCTCTCCATTCTCTTCTTGGCACTAGGTATTTAATTTATCCTCTTCTTTATGTTTCATTTTTGAATCATTCAATGCCAGTTTTATTTTAATTTGTATGTCATTTCTACATATAAATACACTCAAATCATCATGCATGCATGACCAAATATATATTTCAAATTAAATTTTGTTCATTTATATGCACCCTGCTCAGCAGAGCACTATCATTGGTTTTTTTTTTATTTTTAATTACATATATATATATATACATCCAACATATTGATAATTTAAACAAAAATTTGGATGGATATTTTGGGGTAGATGGTCTGCAATTGCTGCAAAATTGCCTGGAAGAACTGATAATGAGATAAAGAACCTATGGCATGGCCACTTAAAGAAGCGCTTTGATCCGAAAAAGAACGTGAAGCAGCTTTCAAAGCAGAAAAACAGAAGAGATTATAAAGCCAATATGGAATTCAAAGAGGCCAAACATGGAGAACATGTTAACTCTCCTGCTTCTTTCACAAATGCCGATCAAGATTTCACATCAACGGTTATTAATACAGTGGGTGGAGGAAATAAGAGTGAAACTATGTATAAGAATTATCAGCATTTTCGGTTTGATGAGAGTCTATGGTTTGAACCACAGCAATTTATGATGGACTTTTCTGTGAATGAGATTTCCATAACCGAAGCTCTTAATCCCATGAGCTTTTATAATGGAGAAAGTTTGAACTTATGGCTGAATATGTAATCAAAAGCTGCAGATTTGCAAGAATTAGTGGCAGAACATGTAAAGCAGAACATATATATATATATGCATGCGTGTATGTGTGAAAAATTTTATTACCATAAAACAAATACAAACATTACTGATTGATTAGCAGACAGATCAATATTAATTACATAATTTGAATCAAATTAGCTGTACAAGGTTCACAAAATATTTTTTATGTGGTTTCTTACATTCTATATAAAATTTAATATGAACTTAGAACATTTTTATTTTGAGTCATTTTTATCAACCGATCACTTATCAATGATGTTCTTATTATGGCCATCAATATTCTCATGTTCTCATGTTGAGGCAAAACTATATAAGATAGAGTACTCTGATGTATTCTTTTCATTTCAAAAAAAATGATAAGAAAAGTGAATCAGAGAAAGTTCAATGTTCAATTACATAAACCAATGACCAAATTTCTTTTCAAAATAAGGACATAAACCTATAATTGAAGGCCAATCATTTAATATTTCTAATTTAACATTTTGTTTAACTATGCCAAATGGACCAAATCTAAAACCTCAAGTGCCTTCTCGCATATATTGGAGTGAACAAACTGGCGGTTTTAAGTACTTGGATTCTTCTGCACTTGGTCTGTTTGCTGTAAATACTAATTGTGGCAAATAGTAATTAATATAGTATCATAACTTTTATATCCTTTTATATATATATATATTATACTAAGATAAGATTTACCAAATTCAATTTAACTAAAGTAAATCCTACCTTGAATCAAACAGCCATAATTATATTATATAATTAGTAATACATACCTAGCTACATATTAAGAAGATCTCTTTTGACTCGATCTTAAGATGTTAATGAATGCAATTATTAAGCTAGATTTTTATTAAAATTGGGGCTGAATACGTGTGTGTGTGTCTGTCAATATATATATATATATATATATAAATATATATAATATATCTTTGATATTTATTTATTTATTCAGATACAAATAAATTAGTGGTTTTGCCTTTTCAGTTGTAAAATTCATCGAAACTAATTAAATTTGCTTATAAAATATAGAAAATCAAACCGACCAAATTTGATTATGATTATTTTAAGAAAAATTGCAAAATAAAAACTATATTTTTAACAAAATTAATATTGATGAGACGGCTTGAAGAACTCTAATTTGATTATTGCATTGTAAGGTGACATGCAGCTATTGGCTATTGCTGGAGTTTTCAGTGTCATCTTCCTTATTTAATTTATCCCTGAAACCATTTCTTCTCATTACAATCATATCCCATATATTTTATTATCTTTCTCATTAATCCTATCGTCATTCAGTCTTCAAGAAAAACATCACAAATGCCCAATTATTCTGAGCTGGACAAGCTACACTTTTATGTGATGTTACATTTTTTTTTTAAATTTATTTAAATGCCATAATCAGCTTTTTCATCATGAGCCAAGAGCTATATATTTAATAGATTAGGCTGGGAATAAGTTATGCTTATATATTTGTTTATATCCCATTTAGCATCTCTTATATGTACATAACATTCCTGAATTAACATTGCTAATCCTATCGAATCATTAGAGGTGGACAAAATTATGATTGGTTGAGGAGGGAGGGGTTGACGGTGTAGAGATGAAAACTTTTAGTATTTAGATAAGTGATGGAGGGTTTTTCTGAGAAGACACTCCCAATTGGGATATTGGGTGGCTTGGAAGCCTTGAGGTTGGTGCATATAAATAATTTCATCTAGTGAATCGTGGAGGAATGTGTTGGAGACATTGAGTTGTTGAATTTTTCATTTTTGATGGGTTGAGACTGAGAGGAGGATTTGAATGGTAGGCATTTTGGCTACTAGGCTGAAAGTTTCATTGTATTGGGTTCCTTTTTGTTGTTTGAAGCCTTGTGTTACTAATTTTGTCTTGAATTTGGTCGATGTTCCATCTTGAGAATATTTGGCAGAATATTTCCATTTGCAACCAACATTGTTTTCATGTGGAGGTGGATTGACAAGAACTCAAGTTCCTTGACACTATTATGCTTTGAATTCCGCGGACACAGCCTTGTCTCAGTGTAGATGTTTAACTGCTTGAGTGTGGGTGGTGGGGTCAGGTTTATAAGAAGTGGATATGTAAACATTTAGGAATTGTTTTGGTTTGAAGGAGCTAGTTTGGGATTGAGTTATCGTTGGATGCCTAGTTTTTATTTTTGGATTAAATAACTAGGTGGGTTGCGGATGAGATTGGTGATTGTGTTGGCTGACAGGTGGTGTTGGGAAAGATTAATATTAAGGGATGTTGGTTGTTTGGAGGTGGTGAGGTAATGGTTGCTTTCGTAAACTTCTGAGAAGTGCAAGTAAGTAGGTTAGATGGGGTGTAAGTTTTGGAAGTGGGAGGAGATGGTGGTGGAGTATGATAGGTAAAGGTGAGTTCATTGAAGACCGCATGTCTAGATATGATAGTTCGATGGGTTTGGGGATTTTACCAATAGTAACCCTTGTGATGTGGCAGATAGCTGGCGAATTTGTAAGGTGAGAATAGAGGTGCATGTTTATGTGGGACTTTTGGCTTTTTCGAAGGATAGAAGAGATATCGAAAAATGTGATCATGAGTGTATGTGGATGGTGTATGATAGAGTAGTTCGTGGGGAGACTTGAGTTTTGTGGTCTTGGATGGCATTCAGTTGATGAGGTAGGTGGTTGTCAATAGAGATGTTGCCCAAAATTTTTAGGGTAGGTAAGAGGCGAGGAGAAGGGTGCTTGTTTTTTCAATTAAGTGTCGATGCTTCCCTTCAACTACCTCGTTTTGTAGGGGTGCATAAAAGGAACTGAACTGGTGAATGATTACCAAAAGAGTTGAGATAAGTATGCATGGTATGGGATGTATGTTCACCACCACCATTGTATCTTAGGACTTTCATGTTTTTTATTGAACTATCTTTGTACCATTTTGTGGAATGTTATGAATTTATTAGTTGTCTCAGTTTTAGCAAACATAGGAACGACCCATGTGAAACGGGAGTAGTCATTAATAGGGATGTTGTCCATAATCAGGGAGAACTATTCCCTGATTTTGCAGGTGCATTTGGTGATGAAGATTATAGAGATGTTGTTGATTTTGAGAAGGTACAACCACTTCTAGTAAAACACCTTATGTATGCTTCTCGTGAATTTAAAGTTTAATGAAAATCTAGTGAAAATGACAGAAAATATGCTCATGTATATAAATAGAAAGATTTACATGCTTATCACTTAATTCCTATCTCTTTACATGCCTAACACCTAAAGTTTAATTTTGACATACATGTCTAGCACCTAAACATCGTCGTAGAAGATCACTCGGGATGGAAAGAGAGGCCAGTTTAAAATAGGGATTCCTTGTCACAAAGTTGTAGATGTATTTGCACCTTGAATTGCATTAATTTCATTGAAGTCCCGAAACCCAAGCATCCATAGTATTTCATCTTTAGTTATATGGAGGGAGATGGACATTTTTTGTGTTTTCCCCCATCATTTTGGGCAAAACAAACCCTACAAATCAGTGTCTTATAGAATCCTTTGTGCAAAGATGGGATATCTTGCTTTTGAAGGATGCTCATTCATATACATTACTAGCTAATCCACCCATTCGGGCTAAAATCTGGCATCAACTACAGTTTTTGCTTCCTAAAAAAGGCAATTAGCCCAATAACGACTGTCGTTGTTTAAAAAAAAAGCTCTGAAATGCTAATCTCGACTGCTTTCAAAATATCCATAAACTTAAGCACATGCAAAGATCATAGTTGGTCTGCAATGTTGCCTCGTAAATGACCACATATGTTGGAGGATGAGAATAAGCTCGATCAGCTGGGACTAGTTACTTCACCACCATATTGTTCGAAAAATAAAATTTCTCTTAAAATAATATCACGTCATCCTTCGTCAGGTTCAATATCTCTTCTTTTGGATTCTTGCACTTTCTCTAATTTTCAGTAGGGCGGGGCTCCCCAAATGTTAGCATCTCGAAGCGCAAAAAATCTCCTCCAAGAGTGAGCAATAACAGTACAAAAGGTTGCCCGAAACTAAGAGAACATAGTTATTCGTAAGTTGTGAGACTCCATTTAATAGGTCAAGAGAGCTCCGTCAATTGCATAAAAACTGACGAGAAAACTCCAATTGTTTCTCCACTTTTTGGTATTTTTATACACTCAAAACGGTAAAAAAAAATGCTAAAAATGTCAAAATTTAGGTCTACCCCATCCTTCGTCCACCATATGATTCAGTGTTATCAGCGCCTGACCCATGACAATTATAGCATGGGGATCGAGATCAACTTGATCTCACACTACAGTAGCCGACCATGCTCCACCTTTCAATCCTGCCCGTCAGCAAGCATAAATCATGACCATTGGATCCGATCATGTGCAACACAGGCTGCAGATATGTGACATGTTGCTCCCTCCCTCAGTCCGGATTCAAATCTCACCATATGTCCTCGGCCATCTGATCTCTTTTGTGACCTACACGCCATGGCTTGAACAACAGGTGAGGCGTCTAGATAAGGTCCCACATAGCACTGACGTGGATTGCCAACGGCATGGACCTACCATTGGTGTGACGTTCCGCTGGCAGACCCGCAGGGGTCAAGGCGACTTGCTAACTTGTATGACTTGGTGACCAAATGCGCACACAAAATCAGTGATCCTCTTCACCTGCCAACACGTCGCAGACACACTGGCCAGGTGACCAGCTGGACCCACGACACTACCCGACACGTCGATCTGATGACCAGCCATGCTACCTGCCACGACTCTCTATCTACCGCCACCACCGTCGGTTGCCACTGCCTCCGCTAGTCGCTGCATGCCACATGACACAAGAAACTTTAAATTTTCTTAATTTTAAGAAATTTTCATTATTTTGATAATTTTCAAGTGATTAATAAAAATCTCTATTAAAATTGGGGTACAACTGATACACTATCAACAAATTTTGTTATTTGGTATAACTTTCAAAGCCTTTTCCTAACAAGAAATATTCAAAATCATAC